TTTGCCCTACACTCGCTTGCTTTGTGATTTCCAGCACATTTATTACATGTTTCCTGCCGCTTACAATCTTTGGCAATATGGTAATAACCCCAGCATTTGAAACATCTCTTGACACTGTAATGATCGAACACAATACACTTTCTCCATCCAATATTTATTTTCTCTTTTCTCAACATTAGCTCATGAGTCATTTTATCCACATCTAGAATTAATGAACCGCCCTTGTCTTTAACCATTCTTTTCACAATTTTTATGCAAAATTCTTCATCTCTGCCGTCGATTGTATTCTGCTTCTTGATCGTATCAATTAAGATTTCATCTTTCAGCTGCATTTCTTCTTCTCCAACATTTACAACTTTTATCTTCGGTTTTATTTTTTAGTGTGAGAGAGAGAGAGAGAGAGCGAGCGAAAAGCGAGCGAGTCTGAGCGAGAGATAGCGAGAGAGAGAGGACGTCCAGCTGCCGGCCCGGACCTGAGTTAGAGGACTCCGAGGAGGAGATCGTGTCGTTGAGATGACCCTTTTTATCAAGTGTAAAGCCACGGGCGGATCAAGAATCTTGCTCGCACTCTGCGGACGGGAACGCCATTTTCGTGTTAAAGTTTCGTCGCGTGCGCCCCTTTGGCGATACGTGTTTCGTAGCTGTTCTTTGGTTTGGCGTACCGGCGTCCATCCTCAAGTGCGAGGATTCTTATCGAATTGTGCCGTGAGTTATCGAGAGTGCCGCGGATCGTATATCGAGCCACCCGGAGATCGTCGCCGCGAGTGAGCCGCAAAGCCCTCGCGTACTTGTGTGCGAGCGTTATCGTAAGTGCGCGAGTACTCGAATCGCGAGTACTCCCCGTCGTATTAATTTGTGTTATCGCGTACAATTCCGTTGCGTTCGGCTTAAGTAATTTTATATTTGTTTTTTGTCTTCGCCTGCGCGTCCGACGCGTGGATTTGCGATCGAGATTGTCGACTAACGTTAGACCTCGGTACTCGCGTCGTTCCGACCCACGTTTTTCATTGTACTATCGCGCTGTTTCGGACTTCAATTGCGTTCCTAGTTACCGGCCGAATTTCTTGAACTGTTTCTTTTCCTTTGTTTTGTTACGCCGGAACTTATCGCACCGTGTGACTACTTGTGTGTAATAACGCCGAATTATTCTCTTCTTTTCCGTTATATTTTTTGTTGTTGTTACTGATCTGTACGCTATTTTCCGCCGTTTCTTACCGCCTTGCCACACGGTTAATAAACGATC